GCATTCGCGCATTCGCGCATTCGCGCATTCTGACGCGCGGCGGAGTCGCTCCGAAAAAGGCGAGTCAAAAGGCCTGCAAGCGTCGGCGATCCCGTCAATGCTCTGTGTCATGAAGTGGGGGGTCGAGCGCCACGATCCTCCCTTTGGAGTGGAACGGAGCGTGCCAGCAAAGTGCGAAGAGTCGAATGAGCGAGCATAGGAATCAAGGCTGGCCCGCCCTGTGCGTGGCGCAGGCCATTGTTGACCGAAAGTGGACGAGAGGGCAGCCGGAGCTGGAAAAGCATGTTCGCTCCAGTGTCGGGCCCGCAGCCCGCAGCCCACAGCCTACAGCGCTGAGCCCGCGGCCCCTTTTGGCTGGCGGACCGAACCGTCGGACGCTGAAGACGCTTCGGCTGGACTGAAGTGTGCGCCTCCCCGCCTGCAGAGCCCCCCTTCCGTCGCCTGTGAGAGATCGCTCGACCTGCCCGTCGCCTTGTCTCTTCGCCACCATCACCACCACCATCTCGGAGGCTTCACCGGTCATAACTCCCTCCCGTCTAGAAACAACAAGATGCGATTCGGAGGATTTGTGGCTGCTACAGCTGCGCTCGTTGGCACTCTGGTCGAGGCGCAGTCGACGTCGATCATCAGCGGCGATGGCCCTCCCGCACCGAGCCTGACGCGCACGGCTGCGGTGGGCAGCTGGACCCCCAAGTCGTCGTCGGACGGCCTCACCAAGCCTTCGCTCGATGGCGAAGGGCGCACGATCTACATCAACAGCGCGAGCGACTTTTGCCTGCTCATGCCTCCCGACCCGACCAAGCAGAATCTGGTGGATGCCGAGGCGATCGCGGTGAGCTACTGCATCAACCCGACCAACGGCACGCGCCCCATGCCCGACGGATTCATCAAGACGGCGCACTTTCGCCGCACGCCCGAGTACGTGCAGATCTCGGGCACGTACGATCCGGCGGTGATGAACCTGGGCACCAACGACTGCGGTGGCGAGTACGACTCGGAGGGAGCCGAGGGCATCGGCAACCCGGTGGGCGTCACCATGAAGAACGGCAGCTACTTTACGCAGTTCATGGGCGCTTGCGACATCCCGGGCAGCCCCGTCTTCTGCATGCGCATGTGCCCGTCTTATGGCTACTGCAAGAACATTTACGACCTCATGGGATGCCTGTGGAACCAGCCGGGCGACTACGACCAGCCGCAGGCGTTCACCAACTGCGATGGCAACGCCGACCTGCCCATCGGCGTGTACAACAGCAGCTACACGTTTAGCCAGGGCCAGAGCGTGACGCCCCCGCCCGTCACGGCGCCTGCCTCGTCCAACTGCCGCACCGTCGCCTCGCCCACCGCTAGCGGCGTCACCTACACGTGGAACCAGGAGGCGGCCGCATCGCCCTCGTCGTCGGCCTCCAAGTCTGGCAGCGCTGCCGGAGCGAGCGGCTCGTCG